CATTTTGGTTTTAAGTTTCTCATCCATAAAATAGGTAAATATTGTTGTGAAGGGTTTGTAATGAAGATTTAATAAGTTCATATATATTCATAAGGTTTTTAAATGAATGAAGGAGACTAAGCCTTTTATAATACTAAAATCTGGAAGCTAGCCCACAAGTCGCTGGGGACCTCACCTGCAGACCCTCCAACTGCCCTGTCATGAAATGAACACACTCTGGAAATCTAATGTACAGCATAATGACTATAATTAACAACATTGTACTATATACTTGAAAGTCACTAAAAGAGTAAATCTTAAATGTAGTCATCACACACACAAAAAAAGATAATTATGTGAAGTGGTAGAGGTGTTTGTTAACTAATCTTACTGTGATGATCACTTCATGATATACACATGTATCAAATCATTATATTGTACATCTTAAAGTTACATAATGTTACATGCCAATTATATCTCAATAAAGCTAGAACTTAAATAAATAAAAGGGCTTTGTAAACTTAAAAAAGAATTTTGAGGGAACACAATTCAGTTCATAATAAGCCTAAGTTTTTATCTCTAACCATAATCTCATGACACCAGTTTTTATTCCCTTTGCCTTAATGTACTTCTTTTCTATTTCATCTTGTCTTGCTTTTTATGGTTGCATTCCTTTTGCTATAGATTGTAAATCTACACATACAAACTCATAGTTTGGGTTTGACATAATTACTTACAGGTATTGCTCTAAGCTAATGTTAATTAGATATAAACCTTGGATTGGGCTACTGTGTCAAATTTCTCAGATAATACTAAAATAATATAACTATATGCTCATCTAATTCTGAAATTACTGGCAAAATTCAGCTCTTCTGGAACATTGTGGACTTTTTTTCACAAGTATTACTACTTAGTTCTTATTTTCTTGCTGGAAATGACATTTTAAAAAAATATATTTTATTGATTTTTTTACAGAGAGAAAGGGAAAGGTATAGAGAATTAGAAACATCAATGAGAGAATGACACCGATTCAGCTGCCTCCTGCATATCTCCTACTAGGGATGTGCCCTTAACCAAGGTACATGACCTTAACCAGAATCGAACCTGGGACCTTTCAGTCTGCAGGCCGATGCTCTACCACTGAGCAAACCGGTTAGACATTTTTAATCACAGCCTTTGAAACTGAAGCAACAAAACCCAACTAAATAGTCGAGGAAGTGGTGCTTTAGATTTTAATCCTTTTCATTAAAGTTTTTTTTTTCATATCTTACTCTTAACAATATTTTACTTTGCTAATATGTGGTTAAAATAAGCAGGCCTATAATTCTGACTTAAAAATAAATAATTACCACTTGAGAACATTTGGGCTGACAAAAGGTACAGAGACGTGATAGGGCATGTGTGGTCCATGGGATGGTTCCTCCAATAATACAGTATACTCTGAGGAGGTTCTAATCAAAACAAGAAGCTCCTGATCATGTAGTAGCAGAGTTGAAATTTCCAATTCAGACATTGTAAAAGAATAAATTCTACCCTGAAGACTATAACTCCTAGACTTTTTTCCTGGCTGGCAGTATTTTATTTCATTTCCTAGACTGATGTGTTTTTTTCTTTTCTTTTCTGTCCCAAACCTCAAAATCATCTATCCTGCACTAACTTAACATGGCAGATAAGAACAGCTGCAGGCATTTCAGTCTAACCTACACAGGGTACAAAAATCAAAGGTCTTTTTTTCCTTTTGATACATGAAGAAAAGGTGCCCAAAGCTTCTTCTTACTAACAGATGACATGCATTTCAACCCTGCTATAGAATGAAAATGGATCCTCAACTATGAGAAATAGGCAATTCTACTGTGAGTGCTTCTTCACTTGGCCCACCTCCCTAAGCCCTCTTACTGGGAAGTTTCTGTGCCAAGGAAAATGGATGGCTGCAATGGCCACATTACCATGAAAAATAAATCCCATTGCCTCGGAAGCTGGATAAGTCTTTCAGCTTTATGAATACCCAATATCAATCAAGCTTAAAGAGAAGAGAAAAAAAATTTTAGAACCCTTTTTATTGTATTTGAGTAAAGGCCCTGGGGAGAGGTATTATTTAATGAGAATAGAGTTTCAATTTTGTCAGATGTAAAAAGTTCTAGAGATGGGTGGTAGAGATGGTTATACAACAATATTAATTTATATAACTGAACTTACAATAATTAAGATGATAAATTTTATATTATGTATTTTTATCACAATAAAATTCTGAAAAAAATGTCAGGATCTGTTTATCTTCTCTCTAGATACAATAATTTGCACCTAATTAGGTTCAGAAGCTTACTTTATTTTACTGAATCTGAAACTATGAAAGATACCGACAGCATGCTGAGTATGAACCACAAAAACTGAAATCTGAAATTCCATAAAAGGGTTATTGTACTTATTGCAGATCATCTATCAATCTAGCAATACCACTCTTTGTCAACTGGCATTTCCTTTGTTTGCATCTGTTAGCTCAAAATGAAAACACAACCTTCTGAAACCCCTGCGTGGCCCCCAGAAAAGCAGGGTTTTATGTCTACCACTTCATCTGCATCTTGTTAAACCATTGTTATCTCAGTGCATACAGAAGTCAGTTGTGTCTTCTCTACCTTCTTTTCATTCAAAGGTTTCTATCTGAGATTTTTAAAAATTCACCTTTTTAACAAAACTCTACTAAGTGAATAATAAAAATCAGAGCTTGGGATTTATAGATTAGTCTTTTTTTCCCTAAGATTTGCTTTTTTTTTTTTTTTGGCTTATAAAGGTTTTTTTTATTTTAATTGTAGTTGGTATACAATATTATGTTAGTTATATTAGTTTCACGTGTATAACATTAGTAATTCAACATTTTTATATCTCATTATGTGATTGCCCCACTAATTCTAGCAATCATCTGTCATTGTCAATCAATCTTTATATCAAGTTGTAACAAAATTTGTCAAGACATGGTGAAGATTTGCATCATCTCTCTCCCACTCTCTTATCTTGCCTAAAAATCTCAGGAGTTTCAAGAACTCTATCAACTTTCCTGCTTAGCATTTATACCCTGTCCGTGCTAATGCCATTGGCCAGCCATAACCCGGAGGGCCACTGCTCACAGCATTTTCACGTTTATCATTCCTCAAGGTTTGTGCTGCAAAGTACTCTTCTACTTGACATTTTGTGAGGGACAGGATTACAATTTCAATTTAATGATTTCAGCATTTCACAAAGCAAGGCAATTTTGTTCACACAAGAGCTTACTTATGCATTTATAGGAAACCTGGGGTCCTAAGTTTGATATATCTAAAATTACTGCACAAGATGTGTGAGCAGAGGCCCAAGCTTAGGGTCTTTTTTTTTTTTTTAAATATATTTTATTGATTTTACACAGAGAGGAATTGAGAGGGACAGAGAGTTAGAAATGTCGATGAGAGAGAAACATTGACCAACTGCCTCTTGCACACCCCCCACTGGGGATGTGCCCCCAACCAAGGTGCCCTTGACCGGAATCGAACCTGGGACCTTTCAGTCTGCAGGCCGACGCTCTATCCACTGAGTCAAACCGGTCCCGTCAATTAGGGTCTTTTTAAAAAAAAAAAAAAAAAAAAAAAAGAAATCTAATAAGTTACTAAATGTTTTGCAACAAGATCCTTAAGACCATATATATATATATATATATATATATATATATATATATATGAATAATAAGTGATCTGATACCTCTGTTTCAGATGCATTTTAACTTAATAAAATTCTGCACATTTACTTTAATTTCTCCATATTCTAGACTTGATGGTTGGAAGTCACTTTAAAAGACTATGATAGCCTATGTAACTCTATCGTTGGAAAGCTAGTTTAGTATGATAGGGAGTTTGTGGTCAGTCTGTACAAAAAGACTCATTTGCTGATACTATATTTAACATAGTAGCCTGTACTATTCACATTGGCATAGATAGTAATAAAATATGGCTCTTCTATTCTACAAATATATGAATAAGAAGATGAGAGATGAATTGCAGAACTCTGAACATAGATCTTTGGGGAATGGGGAAATACAATTCAGAGAATTCTGAAAAAATTAGAAGACTTTACATGGTATAGTCAATGATGACATTCTATGAGCTATTGACCTGGATTTTCAGCTCTGACGGCCAATTTCTATCAGCTCTGTCCAAGTCACCTGGATGGTACAGGGATGAGGCCCCTGGGAAAGCTCTGCCTTCCAACTGATCCATTTCATGCTTTGTCTATTTCTAGAATCATGCCTCCTATGATCTCCAATCTTGCCAACTTTCATCTGAATCTCCAGCTTGTAGTCACATAACAAGTCCAGCTCTGGCCCGTGTGGCTCAGTTGGTTGGGAATTGTCCTGTGCACCAAAAGGTTCCTGGTTCGATGCCTGATCAGGGCACAGGCCCAAGCTGTGGATTGTATCCCCTGTAGGGGATATGCAGGAGGCAGCCAATCCATGTTTCCCTCACATAGGTATCTTTCTCTCTCCCTCTCCTATCCTCTCTCTCTGTCAATTTTAAAAAATCGTTTTTTAAAAAAACGACAAGTCTAGTACACAGATATTATTTTTTCATAGTTCTAAGGTGCTATATAGGCCATTTAGGTCAAGATTCTCTAGTTTGTGTTCTGATCTGTTAGTAAGCCTCAAAATTATTTTAAGATATTCTAAACATTATATTATTTCTAAACTTCCAAAAGACGTATGGAAAAATTTAGCAGCAGACCTGTTCAGCCAAATTTGTTTCAGTTTAATTTAGTGCCACCCCTTCACTCAGGTTAGGTAAAGACGGAATGGTGACACAAGTATGTTTCCTTGAGACATATCATAGGCAATTGTCCCTTTGTTCCTTCCCATTTAAAAACATATTTTGACTATTCCTTAGGCATGTTATGGATTTAACTGTACTGCCAGGAAAAATAAGATTTTCAGGAAGCTATTGAAAGTCATATATTTCATGACTTCTGAATTTTCCAAATATGACTGTTTCCTTCTTTTCTTCTAGGTTGTAAAAATGATGATTATTGTTGTGGTGACATTTGCCATCTGCTGGCTGCCCTATCATATTTACTTCATCCTCACTGCGATCTACCAACAACTAAATAGGTGGAAATACATCCAGCAGGTCTACCTGGCGAGCTTTTGGCTGGCAATGAGCTCAACCATGTACAATCCCATCATCTACTGCTGTCTGAATAAGAGGTAAAAACAGAGTTTCCCAATGCAAGTCTCTTGTCACTCCTGGCATCACTGGAAGCATATATATAATGTTGCTCCATCTTCTTGGTGTAAATTTAAAATGTAAAAGGAAGGGGAAATGGAAAAATTCACTGGAGGAGCACAGACGCTCCCCTATTATATAAAATACCTCACCTTAACAATTACATCCACAAAACAATGTTCTCAGAGATTCTAACTGGGCAGTTCTTTATAGGGGCCACATTTTCCCTCCAAGCCTGTCATAAGTTTACATGCCAAGAATAAAAGAATGCACTCATGATGAAGGGGGTAAGCTGAAGATGTGCTCAGGTCTTCGAAGAAATGAAGATACGTCACAGACATGCACAGATGAGGGCCTATGTGAGTGTACTCTACTAAGAGAGGTGTTTTGTAAATGAACTTTTAAATAGGAAATGTTGCTGTGAGTGTGATAGAGACAAAATACAGACAAGGGGAATTCCAGTCTTCTTTGCTGCATAAGGAGCTCAGAGAGTAAGAAAGGATGCACAGTGGGAATGGGGTGTGAAGAAGTTGAGGTGATCAGGGAAAAGGTATTTTTAAAGTGAAGTTAAAAAAAAAGAGAAGGAATGAATATTTACAGTTAAATTTAAGGCTGGAAAATAATAATAAAATGTAGTTTCCAGGTAAAAATCACATTAGTTGTAAAGTCAGCATATGGATGAGTGAGGTTAATTTCATAGGGCTGATCATTTCCTTAATAAACCAATGTGTTTTGAGCTACTTTGAGCATAAGGCGAAAGGGAACTTCATCTAAGTAACTCTGAGCTAAATTCTAAGCTCTTTTTCCAACTGTGCCTCCACCACACTGTGCCTTCAGTTTGTTAAATACTTAATTCTTGCTCTTTTTTTTTATTCATTCCATAAGCCATATGCCAATTCAAGCTACCCCACAAGCAGTACATCTTTTATTAATCAACTTCATTTAATAGTTTACAAAGCCAAGGATTTCACACTTTTACATGTGATTAGATAAAAACCATCACGATGAGGGAGCATTTGAGATCTTGCACCCTGGTACATTTTGTCAGTTTGGCTCAAATAAACTCTTCTAAAAATAAAAATTAAAAAACACCCATCAAGTTTAGCAAGTAATTCTAATATTAAATAAGACTTTAATTTCTAAATGTGTAATTATGACTGAAAAAAAAAGCTGTTTCCAAATATGTCATGTTTAAATGCCTTAAGTGGCAAGACTAATTCAATTACACCTATGCAAATATATGCAATTATTGAAGAAATGTACAATGTCTCTTTGTTATATTGATTACCTGACGCTGTCCTTTTACTCTTTTTGATGACTTGATTCTCCTTGATGATAAATTAAGATTCAAAGCAAACAAGAACTTAAAAGACTAAGACCAGTGCTGTGGCATAAATTCTAAGAGTTTGACTAGAACCATGGTTGGCAAACTGCGGCTCTCGAGCCACATGCAGCTCTTTGGCCCCTTGAGTGTAGCTCTTCCAGAAAATACCATGGCCTAGGCAAGTCTATTTTGAAGAAGTGGCATGAGAAGAAGTTTAAGCTTAAAAAATTTGGCTCTCAAAAGAAATTTCAATCTTTGTACTGTTGATATTTGGCTCTGTTGACTAATGAGTTTGCTAACCACTGAACTAGAAAATCAGATTAAAGTACTGTGTTGGCTATGTGCCTTACAGAGGGCTTTCTGTGGCAGTTGAAAGAAATTTTCTCTTGAAAACATGACTTTCTCCCTGTGGCCCACTTCTCAGATTTCGAGCTGGCTTCAAGAGAGCCTTTCGCTGGTGTCCTTTCATCGAAGTGTCTAGCTATGATGAGCTGGAGCTCAAGGCTACCAGGTTCCACCCAACCAGGCAAAGCAGCCTGTACACTGTGACGAGGATGGAATCCATGACAGTGGTGTTTGACCCCAGCGACTCTGTCAATGCCAAATCCAGCCAGAAGAAGAGAGTGACACCAAGAGATGCAAGCTCCAACAGCAACTCCCGCAGGAATTCCAAGTCAGCCTCCACCACCTCCAGTTTCATAAGCTCACCCTACACCTCTGTGGATGAGTATTCTTAAATGTATTCCCTGAGGTGCAAGTAGCGTGAGGCCACCGTGGTGGCAGCCTGGGGCCCCTTTCTCCTCACACTGTGTCAGTCCTGACCTGTCTACTCTCCCAAAAGAGAAGGGAATTTTTAGGCAGGATGCTTCAGTGGAGAAAGGTAGCATATAAATATAACAAAGACACTATTGGAGTATTTGCCTCCCTCAAAAAGAAAATGGGCTTTAAATTTATCCTTTGAAAATTCTAAATTATTACATGTAGCAAACTGAAAAAATACTTGTAAAGTGCTTTGTTTTGTTTTCCACTTAAAAATTGTAATATACATCAGTGAAACTAAAGTGACATATGATTTTTCCAAAAAATCAAATACAATGTTGTGAGTGAATACAATCAAAATATATATAAAATAAAGCAACTTCATCTATAGCTATAACAGAAAAAAAAAAGTTAAATGGTTAATTTTTCCACTAGAATAATGGAAAAATAACCCCAAAGGGTAGAAATTAATGAGCATTTTTGCTGAAGAGAACACATTTTATAGAATGATTTAAAAGTTTTAATTTAAAAATTTAAGATTTAAAAATTGTCTCCTTGAAATGTAACTGAAAAGGAAATCTAGTCAAATTATTAAGCAGCTACATGTCATTCTTTTTAATTTTTTTTCTGAGAAAATTGCTTCAAAAGAAAAATAATAATCATTTACTCTTTGATCATTACATATTTTAAAGTGCCAAACTAAGAAGAGTCAAAGTTGAACTTTAAAATGACAAAGCAAATTCTACTTAAGATGAAAATTTTATTTAGTAAATTGGTAAATAAAATTATATAGGTTTAAGGTGTACAGTTCTATAATACATCATTTGTATATTGTATTGTATTTACTACCCCAAGTCAAGTCTCCTTCCATCACCATTTATTCCCCTCTTTACCCTCTAGTACCTCCCACACCCCTCTTTCCTCAGCAATCACCAAACTGTTGTCTCTGTTCATATGTAGATTATAAAACACTAAACATGCCTTCTAATGAAGAAGGGAAGAATCTCATTTGTCTCTGAAACTGCCTACCAATTTTTAGGCAAGAAATAAAAATACGAATTCATAGTTATAATAGCAGACAGGAGCATCTATCTGCTCCAAAGGAGTGTTTCTCCTCCATAACCCAAGTAAAAAATCTAAAGTGAACATCAACTTTATAAATTGTATGGACCTTTATCTCTCCTCTCTTCCCATTGAAGAAAAGAGTAAGGGCTGTAGGAAAATATAATATATGCTTAAAGGTAAACCCTTAAGAAAAACGTCTATGTGCTGCCGGTATGTACAAAATACATATCAGTAATTCAAGCAAAATGTAGAAAGGTGAATCATCTATTACAATAGAAAGCCAGACAATAGTTTGGATACATATAAACTAATACTCCACAGAGAGAGCTTTCCTTTTGTTTGCTTAGAAGTACCCTTTTTTGAAAGAAAGAAATGAGCTAATGGTCCTGAAGAAGCATCTGTTTCACTGTAAGAAAAATACACTGACACATTTCTGAGAACCATAACAAAATGAGATGCACCATTAAGTGTGAAATTTATCTTCCAGACATCAGTGCTTATAAATCATCTTTCCTTGAATTAGAGACATTCTCAATCCTGCTCAAGAAAGCAGAAACTTTCTGAGATCTTGAAAATAATCAGTTGTATTTTTAAAGCTATCCAGCTAAAACAATTACCTGTAACACCTTACAGAATTGTTATGCCTCCATCAATATAGAACCCACCATTTGCTTTTTGAACAAGATTAAAGCAATTATTCAAGAGCAAATCGTGGTCTTTTGCTGCCAAGACATTAAATTTTTCAATCATCCTCTTTATTTTGGACCCCAAACTAGAAATATCTAATGGTTATAATGTGTTAAAAGTCTAAACAATCCCACCATATATGTTTAAGCTGAATTTCTTCTGATTACATCAATAAGCAGACACACATACATACACACACATTTGAGTGTGCAGACATATGCATTTTAATTTATGTAGCAAATTAAAAACTGAATGCTGAAATAGTCAACGATTATTACAGAGTTGTCAGAAGACTCAGTAAACTCTGAAGTTTGCATGCTTTAGGTAAGCAAATGTATTACTATTTAGCATCCAATTGATGAATGTAATACTTTTAAATGTTTACTTTAAAAAAAATGTAAATGCTTATCATACAGTGTGAATGTCAAGAAAAAAGTCTAATATTTTAAAGTAAACATTATCTTCTCAAATTTGTGAATGACTATGGGACTAGCATTAATGAATCCTCTCCATAAAAGGGACCATATTCAGCTATAGAATGCAGATGTAAAGTGTGCCCTCTGAGTCAATGTGGTCAGCCACGAGCAAAATACATTTGAAAAACAACTCTGGGCCTTCACACATGCTAGGGAAATTCAGTGTAATTTTTTAAGACATCTAAGGAAAAATTTGCTCCAGACATCCATATTGTTTGTTTTCTTTTCTCTTTCTTTCTTTCTTTCTTTCTTTCTTTCTTTCTTTCTTTCTTTCTTTCTTTCTTTCTTTCTTCCTTCTTTTCTTCCTGTTTTAGTATATTTGTTGTTTTATTTACCAACTATCACACTTCTAGAATGACAGAAATACCTAAGGTCCAGACAGTATCTTTTTAAATATATTTTAGAAAAAGACTGACATCATTCACGCAATACTAGTTATTCTTAATACAAGACTTAGAAAATAATTTTTAAGTTTAAAATTTGAAAAATAGTAACAATAAAATAAATGAATACAATACAAAAAGTGATATTTTATTCTTTTTGAATGAACTTGGTCACTGAGAATTATACAATAATACACATGGAAATCAGCTTCAGTAGGCCCCATTTTAAATAAAACTATGCCAGTGTTTTCATGTTTGTCAGGGTTTGGAAAAATTTGCATCCAAAATTCACCCTACCCTATGATGTAAATGTTCACTGTGAATCTTATTATTGTGTATAGACAAAGACTAGCTAGAAATACTGGTCAGGTAGTTACAATGCTCTAAGATATCTTTGGATTTAGATCAGCTAAAGAAAAATGCACACTATTTTGAGAGAAATCTGAATGAATAAAAAACTTTGCCTTGCTTTAAATATTCTCTTTTTGAAAGACAAAAGTGAATAAATAGTATACATTGTATTTTCAGTATATTGCCCCTGGACAAAGTGTTTTTTAATTACCTGCATGAGGAAAAAATTAAACATAAGTATTATAGTATTCAATCTAACAATATCTGGTTTTTAGCTAGCATTATTCATTCCATCTCTCAACTTCATTCTGGCCACATTTCTGACCCAGCAGCCAAATTCATATTCTTTTCCAGATCCTTTTGATTTCTTCTAAACATATCCTCCCAAGTTTACAGTGAACTTCACCCTTACAAAGCACACAGAAAAATGCAAAGAAACTTGGTATTGTAACTCAGAAGCACAAAATAAATGTGAAAAGCCATGGTGGCCAGCTCATAATTTGAATTTGATTTTTGTTAATTCAGGATTTTATCAGAAGACTTCTGATTAGTGAATGATAAGCTATTTCATCAACCACAAAGGTTGGAGGGTTACAACACTGCTCACCCTTTTAACAATAACAATTTGAGTTCCCATTCATTGATAGTGTGCCAAAATAAGGCAATCAAGCATGACACTGGCTATATATATATATACATACTTTGGTAAAAACTGCAGTTTGAATTTTAATCCCACTATTCTGACTTTGACCTTTGCTTACTAGCTTAAACAATAGGGTAGTTACAGGAGATTTACTCCCACTGACTCAGTAGCTTCAGGGGTAGAAACTATAGATAACCTTTAGAGATTAACCTCTGAGTTCTGCTTTTGTATTATGGGCAAGATAAGGCCACATTCCAATGTTCCCAGCCTTTAGAACAACGGGAAATTCCTGTGGTTTGAAGCTTTAAAAAGGATTGTCTACACCTGTATCTGTGCAGTCGTGTGGGGCCCACCTGCGTGTGGTGCTGTCCTGGCCAGTTTTTCAATAAATCCTTGCCTGCTTTTTTAATCGATCATCAGCCTCCGGTGGTCTTATTTTGAACCCAGGGTTTACCCAACAACAACATTATATATATATATTATATATTTATTTATTATATATATATATATATATATATATATATATATATATATATATATATATATATGTTATGCAAATTGTCCATTAAAGTGTCACAGTTATGACTGAGGCTGTGTGTGCAGAGAGCACCTCTAGGTCCTCTGCCCCACCTCCCCACCCCACCTCTGCCACTGTGGGCGGTGGTGGCAGCACCCTCCCGCCTCCTCTGGCTCCCATGGAAACAGCAGGGCTCCCTCCCAGCACCCATGGGTGGCAGCAGCTTGCTCCCACCTCCCGCAGAAATGGCACAGCTCCGATGGAAGCAGTGCGGCTCCCCCTGGCTCCCACGGAAGCGGAGGACGGCCTACTGCGCACGATATCGCACATAATAATGTTGTAATAACTTCCCCCAGGGCCAAGCAGGAATGGATAATAATGTCCAGTTGTTCTGTCCAAGGTCACTAATTATGTGTTGTAAAATAGCTTGGCAAAAATTATTTGAATATAAGAAATAAATGTACATAAAGTTTGTAGCTAGTGAATAAAGTATTTTCGAGTTGTGGTAATTTTACTGAATGGGTTTAATACATTCATACCCTTTGTATATGTGTTATATGTGACAGATATTATTTCTTTTCTCTTTAAAAACATTAAAAAGGATATTAAAAGTGAAAGCATCCCTACTATTTTTTTACTGGCTAGCAACACATGCTATGGAGGGTGCTATCTTTTCTAAACACAATCACTCAACCATTCCTCAAGACGATTGTGCTTTCATCCTTTTTTTTTTTTTTCTTTCACAAAATGTCTAATTTTCCTAAGTGACCCTTATTTGAAAAAAAAAAAAAAAAATATGCAGAGCAAAGGCATAAAAATGGAGAGACACGTTTTGCTCAGGGAACAGGAGCAGGTGAATTGGCAGGCAGAGCCGAAAGTATTATACATGTAGTTGATCACAGAGCATAGCATTTTAGAGCTATGGCATCAGGGCTATATCCACCCACAGACTTGAGTTTCCATCTGAGTCCCACTGCCTGCCAGCCGGGAGACCTGGGCCAAGTGATTCTCTGCTCTGAACCTCTTTTAACCCATCAAATAAAGAGAGAAAATATTAATTTCTTCAAGTGCTGGTGTGAGAATTGAACACTTTCATGCATAAATGGGTCAGAGACAAACAGTAAATAAATGTCCTAAAACATGATTAGCATCCTTGTGTGCATGGGGAGAACATTAGAGAAACCTTTATCCTCTGCCCCCATCCCAAGCTCTTTGAGGGGCATATGTAGCATTATAACATCCTGTTTTCAGAACGCAAACAAGAGCTCATGGATTCTGTACGATTGTTCTGGGAATTTTCTGCCTGGCCCTGGGCCCTGAGTAAGAAAAGCTGTATAGATGAATGCTGGAGTCTTCCCACAGCTGCAGGGGTTTGGGAATATGAAGAAAGGCTGTGCAAAAATGCAATACAGAGACTGGACATGAAACATAAATTTGGGAGGCATGGGGACCAGGGGGGCTCCACTTTCTAGTGAAGTAGCCTCTCCGAATGTCTGGACCCACGGCTTTTTATTTGCTGGGAAGCACATTGGCCCTTCGGAATGCAAACAGGTAAAATGTGATAAACAAGAAAAGATTGTTGTGAGTGTCCCTCCCCCCCCCCCCCCCCCCCCCCCCACCCCCACATCCCGCGTGGTTCAGGGTTCAGGTTCAGAGTTCTGGTCCTGGAGGAGGCTGAACACAAATGAAAGAAACTAGACAAGAAGTTATAAATTTGGGAATTGAAGGCCAGTCAGGAGCCCAGCTCAAGAGGAAGGACTCCACTTTGCTCTGGCCTTGCTATCCCTTTTATTCAGGTTTTGGGATACACCGATAACCCTTAGGCAGGCAACTCCAATAATAGCCAATCAGCAAGGATTTACAAAAAACTATAAGGTGGAAGTTGTAGGGCTCTGACCTTTCAGAGCTCAAAGTCTCCAGCCTTCTGGGTTCCTTGTCCACACCACTCTGCTAGTGAAGACAATGGGCTGCTTCCAACAGATTATCAAATTGGGAGAAATTTCTTCAGCTATTCTGCCAGCAGCAGGTAAACAGGAAAAGATTATCAGGTTCCGGGAAAAGCCTACAGCTGTTCCAGCAGCAGGTGATAATATATGCAGTTTTCAGCCCTGCTGAAGCCCCAAGATCCATCAGCCTTCTGATGAACTTCTTGCATGATGATGACCTTCTAGAATTAGCCTCCAGCACATCACCCTTTTTGATTTAATAAATTTAACAAGAATGTATGCCATTGAAGAGCTCAGGTCTTCTTTTTAAGATTTTTTAAATTCAATGGAAATGATTGAGTTCTTTCATGTCCCTTTAAATGCTGCCAGGCATCAAAGGAATCAGTCTGTAGTAAGCTCCTTTCTGGGCCAAAAGTTCTTTGAGTCCCTGTCCCAATCACTGTCCCCTGTGACATGACAGCAATGATATTCCAGTTTTGGATGGGATGGACAAATGGTGATCAATGGTAATGCAGGTCCAACCTTCTTTGGCTTTGTCCTGGCCAACCTGCAGCAATGCTCAGCTGCTGACTGATAGCATGGCAAGGGGTCTTTATCCTCCATCTCTGGACTCTTTCTCCTCTATCTCCTCAGAGTGTTACTTGGGGCCACCACCATGTGTGGCTGGAGTAGTCTGGTCAGTTCCTCTCTCTGATCCATTGTTGCAGGAATCCACACAGGCTTGGAGGAGTTTTCTGGAAACGTATAAGCCTATTCTTGACCACAGGTTAACAAGGGAATCCTTTCTATAAACTAGACTCAGGATCTTTTTATTTTGCTCAAACCATTTTCCTTTGGCTTATTCTGACACCATGTGTGTCTTGCCATCAGCATTAAAAGTGAAACAAATTGAGAGAAACCAAGATGGCAGCATAGGTAACCGCCTAAATGCAGCCTCACACAACAATTTCAAAAAATACAACTAAAATATAAAGTGGACATTATCCAGAACTACAGGAAAGTTGACTGACTGGAAATTCTACAATGAGAAGGAAAGAGAAAACCAGAAGGAAAATCAGAGGAGCTGTAAAAGCCTAAGGTACGGAGACATGTTGCCTGTGAGAAGAAGACAAAGCCGGAGAGGAGGGGCGGCTGAGTGCCTGGCTGGCATTCCCTAGCAGGAAGGAGATAAAAGCTCCGGACTGTGCTGAACCCCAGTTCCGACAGCACTGAACCCCAGTTCTGAGCGAGACCCTGGGGACTCAGACACATACAGAGGGAATCTGGGCTGTAAGGCGGAAGCTCAGGGGAGCGGCGAAAGGCAGAACCCCAGAGTAGCGTACATTTCGTGCAGAGGACTGACGGTTGACTGTGCTGCTAGATTGCCCTAGCGGGAAGGAGACAAAAGCTCCGGACTGTGCTGAGCCTCAGTTCTGGGCGAGACCCTTGGGCCCCAGGCTCATACAAAGGGAATCTGGGCTGTAAGGCAGAAGCTCAGGGGACTGGCGAAAGGCAGAGCCCCCAAGTCGAGCCCATTTCGCGCAGAGGACAGACTGTTGATTGAGCCGCTGGATTGTCCTAGCAGGAAGGAGACATAAGCTCTGGATTGCATTGAACCCCAGTTGCAGGCTCATTGGGGGAAAGACTAGACTGTCTGGTAGTGGGTGAAACTCTAGGGCACCTTTCTCTCAGAGGTGCTGGTAGCAAGTACCAAAGGACACTGAGGAACACAGACTCAGGAACCTCATAGGGCAGGGCTAACCGAAAGACAAGGCTGTAGGCTCCACCCTGAAACTCCACCCCATCCAAGCTGAGCACAGAGGCTCTTGCAGTTTTCCAAGTCTAGTCGAATAAGGCTGTATCTATGCTGATCCTCCCACTCTACCAACTCGGGGAAGCAGGAAAAATGCTGAGACAAGGTAACAGATCACAAACGAAAGAAATGGAGGAGAAAAACAACTGGATATAGAGTTCAAAACCACGCTTATAAGGTTTTTCAAGAATCTCCTAGAAAAGGCCGATAAAATAAACAAGACCTAGGAAGATAAGAAAAGGGATCAACTAGAAATAATAAAGGATCAGCTAGAAATAAAGAATACATTCTCTGAAATAAAAAATATTATACAGAGTCCTAAAAACAAAATGGAAGATTGCAAGAATCAAGTCAAAGATTTGGAACACAAAGAGCCAGAGGACACTCCTCCACAGAAGCAAGAAGACAAGAGAATCAAGAAAGTTGAAGATAGTGTAAGAAACCTCTGAGACAACTTCAAGCGAACCAACATCAGAATTATGGGTGTCCCAGAAGATGAGAGAGAGCAAGATACTGAAAACCAGGCGTCTTCAAACTACGGCCCGCGGGCCACATGCGGCCCGCAGAGGGGTCTGATCCGGCCCGCCAGGTTTTTTGGGCAGTGAGCGCAGCCGAGGTGTTACAGTAGGAATTAGTAGTTCATATAGTCCGGCCCTCCAGCTCTCTGAGGGACCGGGATCTGGCCCCCACTTTAAAAAGTTTGAGGACCCCTGCTGAAAACATATTGAAAGAAATAGTGACAGAAAACTTCCCCCACCTGGGGAAAGAATTAGCTTACAAGTCCAGGAAGTTCACAGAACCCCAAACAAAAGGAATCCAAAGAGGACCACACCAAAACACATCATAATTAAAATTCCAAGAGCAAAAGACAAAGAGAGAATATTAAAAGCAGCAAGAGAAAAGCAGGTAGTTACCTATAAAGGAGCACTCATACGATTGTCAGCTGATTTCTCAACAGAAAC